CCTACCTAGATTTTGCCCCAAAACCCTATCCATCCTGGTTGTTCAGGTCCCTGTAGTATCCACCTGCCAGGCAACAGGAAAGCATCCTCACCGCGGTGCCAGCGTCTCAGTACGGCTGCCTCGGGGTCAGAGGGCACCCAAACAGCAGAAGCAAAGTGTGGGGTTGGTAGGTTGTTGTGGGGTTTGAGGGTTTTCGGTGTTTTGGGTTTAGGGTTAAAGGGATCTCAGACCATCAGACCCTAGACCTCGAAACCAGGCCACAAACACGATCCGGCTGTCGAGCCTCCATCCTGAACCCTGAACCTAAACCCTAAACAGCCCACACCCTAAAATCCTAAACTCTACACCCTAAACCCTACACCCCGAAATTCTCAACCCCACTTGGAGGTTCATGGATACTTATAAGATGGGGTTACAAGTACGCTAATCTGGGTTATAATTACAGTTATCCTACTTATACCCCCAATTAGAACTACCCTAAACCCTAAACCCTATAGAAACCCGTAAAGGAACCCTGGCCCTAAACCCTCACAACCCCCCTTATCACTACGCAGGAACCTCCAAGTACACCCTAAACCCTAGACTCTAAACCCCAAATCCTAAACCCTAAAACCCTAAACTCTAAACCCCTAAATGCTTAATCCTACACCCTAAGTGCTTAACCCTACACCCTAAGTGCTTAACCCTAAACCCTAAGTGCTTAACCGTAAACCCTAAGTGCCTAACCCTAAACCCTAAGTGCTTAACCCTACACCCTAAGTGCTTAACCCTACACCCTAAATGCTTAACCCTACACCCTAAGTGTTTAACCCTAAACCCTAAACCTTAAACCCTAAACCCTAAACCTTAAACCCTAAAACCTAAACCCTAAACCTTAAACCCTAAACCCTAAACCCGTGCTTAACCCTAAACCTCATCAGGCGCCTTGGGCGACCTTGTGTGGCTGCGAACGGAAGAAGCTCAGGAGGCCTCCAGGGAAGGGCATGAGACCTGGGGACTCAGGGCTTTTGGGTTTAAAGGTTTGGGGCGTTTGGGGTTTTATGGCTCTGGGGCTTTAGGGGTTTTAGGGCTTTGGGGCTTTGTGGGTTCAATGGTTTGGGGCTTTCGAGCTTTGGGGCTTTAGGGCTTTAGGCTTTGGGGCTTTAGGGTTTTTAGGGCTTTAGGGCCTTAGGGGCTTTAGGGCTTTTAGGGCTTTAGGGCTTGAGGGTTTTTAGGGCTTTGGGGCTTGAGGGCTTTAGGGCTTTCAAGCTTTGGGTTGGGGTGGTTTATTGGTCTTTGGGGAGTGTGGGGTTTCAATTTTTGGGGCTTCACAGGTTTGGGATTTGGGTTTCGGGGCTTTGGGCTTCACGGTGACTCCTGGGTTTAAAGGCTTCGGAGTTTGCACGTGTTTCAAGATTCGTGGGCTTCGGGGTTTTAGGAACTGTTGAATACTGTGTTGAGTCTTTACACTTCAAGCATGTCCATCGACATACTTCCGTTCATCTCGCCATCTCCATGTCCTAAAACCTAAACCTTAAACCCGGCGGCAGACTGACGGACAGAGACAAGCCGACAGAGCGATCGGGAGACGGACAGATACGGAAACACAGAGACACACACACACACGCGCACACACACAGACACACACACACACACACAGACACACACACACACACAGACACACACACACACAGACACACACACACACACACACACAGACACACACAGACACACACACACACACACACACACACACACACAGACACACACAGACACACAGACACACCACACACAGACACACACAGACACACACAACACACACAGACACACACAGACACACACAGACACACACAGACACACACAGACACACACAGACACACACAGACACACACACAGACACACACACAGACACACACAGAGACACACACACAGACACACACACAGACACACACACACACACACACACACTCCCACCCACACCCAGGCCCAAACCCAGGCCCCCACACCTACATACCTAGACACACCTACACGCACCCTGCCGTGGTCGCTGAGTGTTCAGGTACACCGCCAACATAGCTACACCTCTAGCAACACAGAAGCACTTCCTGATATCTAATGTAGAAGCCCCACTTATTGTTCCTTAAGCTTCTTTGTTATACTTATGCTATAATATCCCACAAAACCCTGTTCTATTGTTCCTTAGGCTTCTTTGTTAGACTTATACTGTAATATCCTCCAAAACCCTATTCTAAAGATCAAGCCCCTACATTCGACACCGAAGCCTCGAAGATTCGAGGCGGGAGCTGTGAGCAGCTCCAGCCAAAACCTTCTAAAACTTGACCCTAAACTTTAGGGTTTAGGGTTTAGGGTTTAAGGTTTAGGGTTTAAGGTTTAGGGTTTAAGGTTTAGGGTTTAGGGTTTGCATTTAAGGTTTAGGGTTTAGGACCCTAAAGCCAGGCCGAATGTAGGGGCCTTTGTGGGTTTTTGGGAAGGGTTCCTTATTATGATTGTAGTATACTATACCCCCAAAGGGTTCCTTATTCTGATCAGAGTATACTATACCCCCAAAGGGTTCTTTATTATGATTATAGAGTACTATACCCCCAAACCCTATTCTAATTACGAAGGCCCCTACATTAAACCCTGCGGAAAAGTCCCTGATCCCTCTCACAGGCTCTAGCGATGGTCGTCGCTCACAATGGGACGGAGGCCCGTCGCAGGGTTCACACTGAGATGCTCTTTGCTCGTAAATTAAGGGCGATTTGTCTTGGGAATCCGTTCAAAGGACCGCCATCGCTCGAGTTTTGAGGGAAACCGCGCGGTTTTGGGGGAAGTCTTTCGTCTGCTTCCTGTGAGCCACGGTTTAGGGCTTGGAGTTTACGGAGGCTTTAGAAAGACAAAGGGTCGGAGGCAGAATCGTGATGATGATCGAGACAATCGTACTGGCTTGAATATTACTGGAAGCCAGCTTCAGTACGTTTGGAGGTTCAGAGGGATGGTTATAAGCTAGCCTACTTATAACCCCACTTAAAACTGTTCATGGCTGTGAATAAGTTAGCCTACTTAGAACCGCACTTAAAACTATTCATGGGTGGTTATAAGTTAGCCTACTTATGACCCCCACTTTAAAGCTACCCATGAACCTCTAGGCGGAGTTTGATGGTCCGCCGCAGAAGCAGGGTAGACTCAGAGTGCGCAGGGTTCGATCAGGAAGGACTCGGAGGAAGCAGCAACTTAATTATCATTTCAAGTATAATATTCATATTATATGTAGATATACAATAGCATACATCATATAATATCATATTACATGTAATTATTATGTAGATAAACATCCAATAGCCGCAGCAACAACACCCTCAGCCACAATAGCTACAACGAAGGCAGACGCGGCAACAACCAATTTCCATCAAGGCTACCAACAACAAACCGCAGCAACAAGGCCCCAGCCTCAGCAGCACATTTTTTGGGTACCCTAAATATTAGGTGCCGTATTATTTAGAAGCTGCCCCCACCCTGTAATAGTGACTATAAGGACTATATTAGGGCCCCATTATAATCCTATTATACCACTATTACAGGGTGGGAGCCCCTTCTAACGTATTATATTAAGGACTCAAAAAGGGACCCCAATTTTAACAACCACCAGCAGCACGCGCAGCAGCAACGATGGCGACGACGACGACGCCAGCGATCACAGCAGAAAGAGATACAGGAGGAACATCAGCAGCAGAAACGGCGGCGACCATGACGCTGACGCAGTGGAAGTGGCAGCAACGTTGAACAGCGTCAACAGCAACGGAGTTGCGAAAGGTCCAAGTAAGATTTGTAGACTTGCGCCGGTCTCCAGTGTTATTTCGAGCCAAAATCCCCGGCCTCGAGAATGTGCGTCCATACCGATGAAAGGCCAAATCCGTGACTGCTATGTCAGGCCTGAACGCTTCAACCTGGAGAACCGAGCAGTGGAGGTTGCATGGTATAGGGTCCTGGGGGCTACACATGGCACACACCATCCTAACAGGAATCGCAGCAGCAGAGCACGACTCATCGCCACAGTACACAGCAGCAGCAGTAGTACTGCAGAATCCGCAACACAACACACACACATAGCATACACCATCCTAACAGGAATCGCAGCAGCAGTAGCAGCAGTCGAAGCAGCACACGACATAGTCACTGTGAGCGTCACCACTACACCCGAAACATCAGAAGAAACACTAGCCCAAGCCCTCACCAACAAACCTGTTTTCCTAGTACATAAAAGAACATAATCAACGCCCCCCCTCAAAAAACAAAAGAAAATACACAACACCACTCCCAGAACAAAGCCCGCAGGGGAAACTTTATACCCGAAATCCGCAACCAAAAGAAAGCCCTCACAACCCTAAAGCTCCAGACCCCAACACCCCAAACTCTGAAAAACCTAAGGCCTTGCCTAAAGCGCCAGAAGCCTTACACCCGAACGCCTCCTCCGATTGCAGATCTACGTCCGATGGACAGACCTGGGTCGGCCTCGCAATGCCGCAGCCTTACTCGCGCACGCGCGTGTTGTGTGTTAGGGAGGGTGGATTTGGGGTTGCAAAGGATGGTTCGGGTCTACAGAAATTCAGGGTGCTACTACCGCCTCTACTCGCAGATTTTTTAAGGTTGTAGGATTATAGTCACGGCCATCTATTATTGTCAGTGCTGTTGTCGTCGTTATGAGTACAGTATTCCTGGAGGTTTTGTCTGGATGTCGCGGGTTAGTCTTTAAGGTAGTGCTATTCACAGTATGAGTACCGTAGCATGGCTAAGGTTCTGAAAGGGAGAAGGGAGATCCTCTCCCGTGTTTTTTTTCAGCTTTTAGGGTGTGGAGTGTGAGATAGCTTTATCGTCCTAAGTGTGGTGTTCTTCTTGCTATAGCTACTGTTGTAGCCGATTACTGTTGTGGCTGTTATTCGGGTTTCGGACTAAAAGAGCATAAGGCTTAAACCACAAGAGTATCCACTAGCCTTCATCACACACCCTGGTCCCTAACTTCAATTTTGCATTGGGAATTTGATGGCAGGCAGCAGATTTGTCGTGTTGGGGCGGAGACCGGCCCCCAGTAGCTCTGATTATGACTGCCGTGTTTACCCTATTATACTCATATTATATTGGATCCCAAAACCCTATTCTAATTCTCAAGCAAGGCCCCAGTGATGTACCTTCTTGTTCCCGCGAGGCTGTACTTCAGGGGCCTGACACTGGTAAACTTGATTTTACAGCCCAAAGCATGCCTGATCAGTTACCACCACATGTACCAATCTTGTTTTTTTAGGGTTCCTCAATATATTCCCCAAGAGCTTGTTTTAAGCATTAAGGCCCCCAAAATAAACCCGCAAACCTTGCAACCTCTCAATACCCCATCGTCACCGAGTCGTTTCCACTGCCGCGCAGCAAGCTGCGGTCTTTGAAGGCTGACTTGGGATTTCAGAAAGGGCTTCAGGAAGTAGAGTTGGATTTTGGGATGTTTCATAGATTAAGTATACAGGGTCTACAAGGGATTGTTGCTGATAGCTCAGGGCCTCTTGGCGTCTAGGGTTCGGAGTAGTTCGGGGCTGAGCTTTGGGGCTCATAGTCCAGTTTGAAGGTTTAGGGCTTAGGGATGCAGCATGAATGGTGCTTCGGGAGCTAAAGTGGAGGGGCTCAGTTCGTGCACATGGTGAGATGCCAGCCCTTCACCGTGCTAGGATGGAAGAAGCTGTGATGAGGGCGACAGTGTGCCAGAGCCTCAGGTAGCACACCGATAGAGCTCTTAAGTGGATAATTCGTGACCAGAAGCAGCTAGATCCTGAAGAATTCAGAGACTTTAACCCAACACCCTAAACGCTCCCCTTAACTGAGCCTCCCATCACCCTGACTCACTGCGAGCCGTTCGCGGCGGCACGTACAATCCTGGCTAGCGTCTTCCGTTGGAGGCTTCCGACACATGACCTGATCGCGACAGAGGATCCCATGAACTCTGGTATGGGCTGTATCCTAAACCCTAAACCCTGAAACCTAAAAGCGTCTGCTATGCATGCTGCTCCGACTCAGTGCCGTCCTGTCAGTGCTGGCCTGTGCTGTGATGCCGCCTTGTCTCCAGATTCGGATTCAGAATTTTATACAACAAATAGCCAACCTATAAGATGTATCGGGAATATATTGTCCATGTTATGACATATACAGGTCCCCTCCCCATGTCCGTCCCCCGCCTTGCAATCGGATCCGGGTTTCCTGTGCGGCGGGTTGCTGTGCTTTTGTTATGTATCCTTCACCGGAGTGACGGTCGGCACCATGGAAATTCAGCGCACAAGGCGGCCGTGCAAGTTTGTTGATATTGAGCTTCAGCGAGAGCAGCAGCCCGGTGACAAGAACCATGTCCCGGCGGGCGTCATGAGCGGGCTTCTGGACCGGACTTTGGGGGCCTTGAACTCCGTGACATGGACATGCAATGAAGACTAGGACTACGCCGTGGCATGGCTCATAATGCATCCTCTGCCAAGACCGAGAACGTTATATATTGTGTGGTGTTGCGCACCTCCCCCCCCATGGTTAACCCCTCTTATACCCACACATTTTGATTCTCCGTGGTGAGTTTGGGTTGTTTAACCCCCCTCATCCCTGTGCTGTGGTTGAGTTTTGGGTTATTCAACCCCCCTCTCCCCTGCTGTGGTGTGGTGTGCTGTGGTGGTGGGTCGTGAGTTTGGTGTTTCACATGGGGGGGTACTGACCCGCGACACGGCACCACATATGGGAGCGCTCCCAAGGACGTGGTTCGTTGATGGGAACGTGGGGCTTCACATTGGTGAGGTGCTAGGGTCTGGCGCCTCCGCGACCGTCTGGAAGGGCAAGTTGTCTTCAACCGGAGAGGTCGCTGAGGTGAAGGAGGTCCTGGCTGCAGACACCTCCAAGCGCGAACAGCTATTGCAGGACATTCGGGCCCTTACTTCCGTGCCTTGTCATCCCAAGCAGATTGGATTCAAGGCCGCACTCTTTTGCGAGAGCTCGGGCAAGCTGGCCATAGTGCTAGAGTTCATGGATTTAGGGAAGCTGGCAGGCAAAATCCCTGTCAAGACCCTGGCCAGCCACACGTGACAGATCCTCATGGGCTAGGTTTCCTCGATTACCTACGCATCCTGCACCGCGACATCAAACCGCCCAACTTGTTGCACAACAGCAATGGGCAGGTCAAGATTGCCGATTTTGGCATCGCAAGATGGTTGCAGCAAGAGGAAGACCATGTCAGCACCATGTTGGGAACCAAGCTTTATATGGCTCCCGAGCGGTTCTTCGGGGACTACACGTTCGCTGCCGATGTGTGAGCTATAGGGCTGTCTATTCATGAACTTGCGCAGGGCTTCAATGCATTTGCGGGTTCCAAGTCGGACAACGAATTTTGGACCAAGGTAGGGGATGCCTCTGTACCCGCCATCCCCATGGCCCCCGATCTCAACACTTTGGTGTCCCAGCGCCTGGTTCCACAGCCGGACGAAAGAGCCACCACTGACGAGTTGCTGCAACATTCTTTCGTTGCATCATGTGCGTGGCATTGTGGAGGAAGCTGAAGTCAGGCCAGGGCTTTCCGTTGAAAGGAGACAAGACATTGCTTTTTGTTTTGTTAGTTTGCACCTTGTATGCTGCCGGGTCTCTACGAATCGCACACCGCCCAAAGCGGTTGAACTTTGTTCAGACATCCTTCGGATCCACTGAAACCCGGAAACCTCAAATCCATAAATTTGGGGCTTCGAGCTCTGGAATCTAGGCTTCAAGGGATCTCCCATCAGCCGAGCACATACACATCGAAGTTGCCATCTGGAGGTTCACGGTTCTGGTTCGGCGTGATCTGGGTGGTTGTCAAAATTGTGGCCCCGTTTTGGGTACCCTCAATATTAGGTCCCGTATTATAATAGGGACCCAAAAAGGAACCATAATTTTGTCAACCACCCATCTATTTTGCTTATACTACCTAAACCTGGTGTTTTTCGTGGGATCCTTGAGCTCTGGACAAAGCTCGACAATCAGACCCTACAAGGAAGCTAGGTCATGGCAGCTCAAGGTCGGCTAAGGGGATCCCAGATTCAGCGGTTCATGTTGCTTGCTTTGGCTTTTAAATTCGTAGCAGGGTTCAGGAGTGTAGTGCTTTCGGCATGAGCACTTGGGTGTCGAGATGTTCGGTTCGGGATGCCCGATCCCTGTAGCCTTTGCTGTGTCGTGAAGACCTCCGGATGCATTGGGCACCAAGCCTCAAACCTTGCACTGCCAAGGTCCTAAGCCCTAAAGCCGCAACTTCTTCGCGTCCAGCATGCCAAGGAAAGCTAAACCCCAACCCCAACCCAAACACCCTAAAGAGACATGATCTGCATATTCAACCCTACTGCCCTGCTAAACCTCAGAACCCAAGCAGCAATCCCCAATCTTAAACCTCAAATCTTCCAAAATCCTAAACCTCCGACGCTAGCCGAAAACCTTGAAGCACCAAAACACGAAGAAGCAGAGCCGAACCACGCCCAACCACAAATCCTATACAAGGCCCTGAAATGTTTTGAAGCTTACATGAAGCCCACATGGGTGGTTGTCAAGATAAGGGTCCCTTTTTGGCTCATTATTATTATGATACGGCACCTAATGTTTAGGGTAAGGGACCCTAATGTTGACAACCATCCACATAAGTTTTTTCTAGAAAAACCTAGTAAAAGGGACCCTAATTTTGACAACCATCCACATAAAACCCAAACGAAGCGTTTTTAGAAAGCCACAGAGCAGCCTCTTGAGGCCGATTGCTTTTCCGGCTTCTGCAAAGGAGGCCAGTAGTGCGACTCTTGTGATTCTTGTGTTGGGGTTTAGGGTTTAGGGTTTAGGGTTTAGGGTTGGGGGTTGCGGTGGGGTGGGTGGGTCGTCTTGTACAGTCTTGTCTCGTCTAGTCCTAGCCTTCATGGGGATGGGGCTCGAGGAAGGGGCGGTTTCATATGGGGGCCTGAATAATACTATTGTGGGGGTTCCTCCCTTATTGATTATAGCATAGTGGGACCCAAAAGGTTCAAGGGTAGTTATAAGCGGGGTTTATAGGGTCTAGGGTCTTCTTGGCGGTTCATGGGTAGTTGTAAGTGGGGTTATAAGTCCCACAAAAGGGTTATAACTATAGGTGGCACCCATTTTCATACAACTACCCATGAGCTTCCAAGTATCTTGTGATTCTTGCGGAAAGGGCGGTTTGGGGTTCAGCCGGCTCTTGACGGGAGGCTTTAGGGGCCTAGGTCTTGGACCCGCGCACCCGTCGGGAGGTTCCACGTAACGCATCATTTAAACGGGATGCCTCTGTTGGGTCTCGGTTATCTTGGTCGTTGTGGTCGTCGCGTCGCGGTCGTCATGGTCGCTGTGGAGCTCTATCACTGTTTGGGGATCTGCAGTGGCATAATCAGCTGGGCTGCAGTCCCCGTGGACGTCTTGGAGTTCAGGTAAAACCTTTAAATCCTGGACCCTAAACCCCAAGCCCGGAACCCTAAACCCTAACGTACCCTTTTGCACTTTTATTCTTGGTCCCCTTAAAAAACTTGAATAATCGGAAAAGGGGTACCCTTGCTACTCTTATTATGATCAGTATTCCCATTATGATTGTTACCAATATTAACTATACTATTAATATAACTTGTATTGTTATTATCATAGTTAGTATCGGTGTGTTTACAATTAGCATTATGATTATCAATTAGAAGCTGCCCCCCACCCTGTAATAGTGGTATAGTAGGAAAAATAGGGCCCTACTATAATCCTTATAGTCACCATTACAGGGAGGGGATTAGGGTTTAGGGTATTTAGGGATTAGGGTTTAGGGTTCAGGGTATTTAGGGTTTGGGGTTTAGGGGTTTAGGGTTTAGGGGGGCAACTGGGGAACCGAGCATGTCTCTGGCAGGAAGCCACGGAGGCGGTCCGGGCCTCGGGCTGAGGACCGCAGCAGCCTGAGTATCTCGTAGTACCTTAGGTGTACTTAGAAAAATATTTTTAATTTTTGGCGATTATAATCCGTAAGAAGCAGCTAAAATTGTAATTTTTGCTAGGGTTCTAAGTTCAGTACTCTAGGGGCCTTCATAATTACCTATACTATACTATACTATAGGGTTCCTTTGAAGGGGGTCTATAAGGATTACTATGAAGGCTACGAAAAGGGTTCTAGATTAGGGGCCTTAATAATTACCAATACTAGCGCTGTTTGCGATCCTTTTTATAAGGGTGCCGCCTCAGTTGGGGTTCCTAAAACGGGACCCTGATTTACAGAACTAGCCACACATGAGGGAACATTGTGGTTTTATGTAGTATCTTGTAGTAGCTTTTTGTATGGTATAGTGGGGAAGACTAGAATTTTCGAGTTATGTGAACTGACTAAGACATATTCTTTATGGCATAGGGCTGTATCATGGCGAGTTGTTGCATACCAGAGTATATTCTTAAAGCCTGAAGTCCCTATACCCTGGCCCCGAAGACACCCGAAGCCTTGAGCCCTATATATAACTTAGAAGCTGCCCCCACCCTGTAATAGTGGTATAATAGGAATATAATAGGGCCCTAATATAATCCTATATATTCCTTATAGTCACTATTACAGGGTGGGGGCAGCTTCTAAGCTATAACTCTGAACCCCAAGCAGAGCCCTAAAAGCCCTGTGACTGACCTTTGGTTAGGTAGAGAATGGAAGAATGGTAGTAATAGTGGTCATAATTGTGCCCCATTCCTCCATTCCCTACTCACCCAGGGCAAGATGAAAGGAGAGTCACGAAGCTTTAGTTTCAAGGTTGATTGAGGGTTTCAGGTGGGGTGTAGGCGTTGAACTCTCAGATCTGTGTTCGACGTCCCTCCAACCAGGGGCTTTTGCGAAGAGCAACCTCTCATCCCTTTGAAGGTGTTCATCTCAGAACGCTTGCAGCCCTCCACCCTGTTATGAACCCTAAAGGCTGAAGGAACCCTAAATCCTAAGCCCTAAACGAACCCCAAATCCTAAACCCTACATGAACCCTAAATCCGACACCCCAAAGCCCTGCATGAACCTGAAACCTTAAAGTCTACATGGGATCCTAAACCCAACATGAACCTCAACCAGCAACGACTGCCCCTGAACGAGCCCAACAAAACTCAAAACCCTAAACCTTTCAGAGAGAGGGAAGTCAGACTGAGGGAGCGCGCCGCTTCCGACTCGACATCGAGTCAGCCCCATGTGCAGCATCCAGACAGTTGCGGGCATGCTACCCTAAACCTTAGACTTTAAAACCCAGACCCTAGACACAAACCCCAAACTCTAGCCTAACAGATAGACCTTTACATTTAGATCAGGTCTTGTTGATTTATTGTATACTCTGTGTATACAGAAGCTTCAGAATCAGCGCGCCCTCTGTCTTCTTCTGCCGTTTTTCTCTCGCTCGATCTCCCTCTCCCTCTCTGTCTGTCTCTTTGTCTCTCTCTCTCTCTCGCTCTGTCTCTCTCTCTCTCTCACTCTCTCTTTCACTCTCTCTCTCTCACTCTCACCTCATCCATCTGGAAACAAACGCATGCACATACGGACACGAAGCCGTAAAGCACTAAAGCTCTGAACCCTAGATCTTAATATCCTAAATCGCCCCCCTCCCAAAGCCGTAACACCATCGCTACACCCTAAGCCCCTCACCGCCAAACCCACGCCTAAACCCCAAACCGCAGGTTACTTGCTGCACCAGCAAAAACCTCGAGAGCAGCGGGGAGGAGAGCCGGAGCTCACGTCGGGGCGGGGTCCTGTCGTGGGTTCTTGGAGTATCATGTATGCATAATCATGTATGCACATATGTACATTAGGTGTATGTGCAGAGATGGATGGATGGACGGACGGAGGGATGGAGGGACGGACGGAGGGATGGATGGATGGATGGATACCCACAAACACAAACACAAGCACATGTGCAAGCGCAAGCACAAACACGTGCACACACGCACACACACACGTTGGACACACACACACACACACACACACACCCATGTATATATATATATATACACACACACAATACTTTATGAGTGTGTTTTTTGAACATAACTCTCTGTATTGTACGCCACCAAAACAACTATCCACATAACATGAATGTCGCTGGCTCAGAAACCGTTGGGGTCTTCGTAGAACCCGAACTCCAAGCACCACAGGACGCAGCGGGATTGTTACTTTCACCTCTCCAGAACCGCTGTCTGCACTCTCGGCTGCGTGTTGAGATGGGAGTTTCCGAAAATAGGGGACCTTAACCAAGTACCTTAAATTGTAGGATCCTTATTATAAGGACCCCCAAACAAGGTACCCCTAATTTTCGGAAACTCCCAGATGGCAGAGATTTGGGAAAGGGGCGAAGGGTTTCAGGGAAGCGGCTCGGAGTCTAGGGATAAGTTATATGGGAGTTTCCTAAAATGGGGGACCCTAGGATAGTACCCTACATAGTAGGATCCCTATTATAAGAATTGAGGGTCTATATGGGGGTTTTCGAAAATGAGGGGTACCTTATTTGGGTGTCCTCATGATAAGGATCCTACTATTTAGGGTACTATATTAGGGTCCCCTATTTTCGGAAACTCCCATATAGACCCCCGATGAATAAATCCCCATACCTTACAAAGCAAGATAATAAGCACTAAGGCCCTGAAAGACGGTGAGCTTATGAACACGGGTCTTGACTTCTGTAGGTTTTCTGCTCCTTGGCCTGCTTGTTCGCGCAATTTCAATCCTCAACCAGATCTCACCCCAAAACTCAACACTCGTCGGGTTTACTTGGAGGTTCATGGGTGGTTATAAGTGGGGTTATAAGTCCCCCAATATGGGTTATAACTACAGTTACCCTACTTATAACCCCACTTACAACTACCCATGAACCTCCAAGTAGGGTTTGGGGGTTTAAAGTTTAGAGGGCTTTTGGAATAAGGTTTTCACAGGTCCGTGAGAGTTGCAAGGCGGGCTCTTCAGGGTTTCAAAGATAGGCGCCACGGATTTAACGGATTTGGGGTTCAGGCTCTGAGGTCTGGGTTTTGGGGTGAAGCCTCCAGGGTTTAGGGTGCAGGGACTTGGGATTTAGGGGTTTAGGGATTTAGGGGTTTAGGGCTTTTGGGTCAAGGGGTTTAGGGCTTTAGGGATGTCGGTGTGAAAGGAGTCTAGGGCTTAGGGATTTTGGGGGTTTTGGGCTGGGGGGCAGACCTGGAGCTCAGGTATGCCCAAAATGGCTGGTGGAGCTATGAACCTCTGCAGCAGCGTAGTTTGGGGTTTCGGGATTTGGTGTTCGGAGTTTGCGGGATTTAGTATGGGGGCCTTAGTGACTAGAATGGGGTTTGGGGGTATAGTATACTATAACTATAATAAGGAGCCCCCCAAAAACCCTATTCTAATTCTTAAGGTCCCTACATTAGGGTTTAGGATTTAGGGTAGGAAACCCTATTCGGCCCATTATGGTTTAGATTTAGGGTACGTCGGTGATCGGTCGTGGGAGGCAGGAGTATCTTCAAGTGGGTGGTTGTCAAAATTATGGCCCCTTTTTGGGTACCCTAAATATTAGGTGCTAAAAAAAGGGACCATAATTCTGACAACCACCCAAGTCTTTCCCTGCAAGCCCCAATCGACACTGCAAAGGGCACGGCGGCTTGAAGGAGGGTTTTGCGATTCTTGAGTTTAGCTGAGCATTCAGCAGTGAGGCTAATCCTTGTATGCCTAGATGAGCATCCCCGTTGCACAACTTACCCTAACACCCCTTCCGCTCGATGCTTTCAATCCCTTCTAGTGCCCTTCACGGACGTCCTGAGCCAGGAAACACGATTTCACATGCTCACGGTTTTGGCGTGCAGATATTCCCTTGACTGAGACAGGCAGGGTTAGGTTTGAAGTTGAAGCTTCAAGACTAAAAAAGCTTGAACAATTATCAAGTATTGCCAGCAAGGTGCAAAATGCTTCCATTCATACGATAGTATAGCCCTCTACCAACAAAAACATATTCCTATGATTTATGATTTAGGTTTTCGGACTTTTTTGGCTTGTTGGACTCCGAGAAGAGGCCGCCACAGTGAAGTCTGCCGAAACAGTTGGGATACTATCGGATTCTATTGATTCTACTCTAGGGTCCCCTTTAAAGGGTGCTATGGGGTTCTACAATAGGGCATCTTTTGGGGTAAAGGCCATGGTTTAGGATCTAATTTGTAAGGTTGAGGGCTTGGGGCTTATCAGTTTAGGATTGAATTTGTAGGGTTCAGGAATTGGGGTCCAGGTTTTAGGGTTTAGGCTTCAAGACGGGGACATGGTTTTGTGCTGCGATGCCTATCCTGGCTAGACCTAGAGAAGCTCAGCTCCGAAGACGGAATCCAAAGAGTTTAGGGAGTTTAGGGTTTAGGGTTCAGGGAGTATAATTCCAGGACGGTTACTGTGCCATGTACGTTATAGAATAACGTTAGTGTCCTTCTTTCAGCTATGAAGCCTGAGCCCTGACTGCCTGGATCACGCCTCATTGTGGGCTCTTCTTGATTCCCAGTGCTCGAAGCACCCAAGCCTTAACACCTCCGGACCATTACCAGAAGCCCCCGAGTCCCGAAGACTTACGCAAAAGCCCACCGCACCACTGGACTTTAGGGTTTAGGTTGGGTACGGCCCCCATACAGTAAGAGTCTATAATGGGGCTACCATTAAGGTCCTAGTATATCTGTACTATGAATATTATTCAACTATTACTGAGTGGGGGCCGTACCTAAGGTTTAGGGTCCAGTTCAGGTTTAGGGCTAGGAACTTGCATTTGCGAGACTTTCGCATGTCGCCTTTCGGGGATTCAGGTTTGGGGTTTAGGGTTCAGGGTTTAGGGTTTAGGGTTTAGGGTTTAGGGTTTCGGTTTAGGGTTCAGCCGTACGGTCTGTGAGTTCGAGGAGTTGTGCTGGCCTTTCCACATTCGGCAACTGCACTTCCACACAGCCATGAGCCCAGAAGATATGCGCTCGGAGTTTGAAATGGGGTAACCGCGGATCTAAACTGTTTTGTTGGATGGCATTTGGGGCTTGCAAGCTCTGCTTAACGAATGGCGATGACGATACTACCGGATACTGGATGATGAGAGTGCTAATGAATGCTAGTCCTGCTGGTGATGTTACTGCGGGCGGTGAGAGTGCTGCTGATGATGAGTCCCCTTGTACTCCCTACATGAGTCATAATCTATTGCAATATCCCCAAACCCTACCGTATCCCGCTGAGTAAAGCCCTGAAGTAAGCCTGATAAGTATAACGTATAAAGCCTACTGTAATCATGAAAGCGGACTCCATCTTGCTGGCGACGGGTCCCGGCTCTCAAAGTCCATTTAGATTGGCCGTGCATGCCGTTGATGCTGCGGACCCAAAACTTTCCAAACCCTTCAAAGGAATTCTGAAATCTAACGGCAACGCATGGAGCCATACCCCTTAAACCCTAAAATCAAACTTCTAAACCCCTTAAACCCTAACCTTAAGCTCCTAAACCCCTTAAACCCTAACCTCAAACTCCTAAACCCCTTGAACCCTAACCTTAAACTCCTAAACCCCTTAAACCCTAACCTTAAGCTCCTAAACCCAAAGGTCGCAGAGCAGGACGCGGCCATTCTTCGTCGCTTCGAGGCCTTCGATGCAGCCGAAGATCTACATTTCGGACCCCTACTTGGAGGTTCATGGGTAGTTAGGGTTTAAAGGGAACTCCAGAAAGTTGGAATATGGTTTCAAGGTAGGATACCCAAGAATTTACCATAAAGGGTTTAGGATAATCATATTCCAACTTTCTGGCTTTTACCTTAGGGGTTTAGGGTTTAGGGTTTAGGTGGGGTTATAAGTAGGGTAACTGTAAATATAACCAGTGTTTGGGGGACTTTTCAGCCCACTTATGACTGTATTCGGCGCCTGCAACTGCAGTATTGCTGTTTTGTTTAACATGGGCTCCTTAATATAGCGTCAAAGGACTTAGACACCCCGCAAAAAGCATGGTCTGACGTCTATCGGTTTCATTCAGACCCTAAACCTTGAACCCTATACTTTTTTGTGCTTGCGCTTGCAGGCAGCCGGTGACCAGCGCGGCTCTCAATGAGTTTGTTGTGTTCTGTGGAGAGCAAAGTGATTCGAAGCTTCTCAGTCAGGGCAGGGGAGGGGCGGTCGGGGAGGGGGGGAACCTACGTTCCGAAACTGACACCCCCAGGCCTTCCACAGACGGACAGCAAAGCCGGCGACGCAGAGAGTGTTGAGATTTCTGGTCCGGGGTTCTTCCCGTTTCCGAGATTCAGGTTGAAAGACTAGAGTAGGGACAACCCTGTTCTGTTAGGTGTCAGTGTTTAGCGATTACTAGGGCTTGGAGTTAGGGCTTCTGATAGGGTTATTGGTTAGTGTTTTTGGTTCAGTTGTTGTTCAGGGAGGGGCTTTTTGAAGGGTGCTTGGCTCTTGTGTAGGGGCCTGCGACGGCGTTCAGAGAGTTTTGCAATCGGCAGGTTTCATTTGGTTCTCATGGAGACTTAACCCCAAACCCACTTCGCGTCGCGAGTATTCTGACGACAGCTACCTCAATCTCAACCTACATACTAAGTTACTAAGTTTACTACGTCACATGATCCTTTATGCAAGGCTCGTGGATGCTCGTGGGCTCCGGAGGGTGCAGGTCTTTGAGGTCAGTTCTTCGAGTGTTCCGGGTGAGGTCTTGGTTTCTTGGCAGGCTTGAGCCTTAGCACAAGGTTTCGGCTGTAGGGTGCTTGTTTGGGATACTGGATCAGCCTAAACCCCCAAAGCGAAACGCCGCTAAACCGCTAAAACCAAAATAGAAACCGTAAACCTTCAACCGATCCCAGCGTCGCTGCCACTGCGAAGACAAAGGTCTCTCCTTCACAGAGATTGCTGGGGCGACACGTGCGCAAGTTGGCAGTGTTGGGGCTCTGCTGGGGAGCCCGGCTTTTTAGAGGGGAGAGCAGCACATTCGCCAACGTCATCGTCGTCATCATCATCAGCGTCGTCAGCACAGCCATGAACTCGACTTCGCACAGGTTTAACCCCAAACCTTGATCCCTAAGCCAGATCACCGCTGACCAGCTGCAAGGGCAGTTCGCCCAACCCACATGCACAATCTCAACTATGCAGGCTCCGTGCAACCCTCCTCAATCCCGGAACAGATATCTTCTAGTACTCAATTTCGGACCTTTGCCAGAAACTCCTTCTAAAACTTTACAAACCCTATACGACCTAACCTACGCCCTGGACACTGAACCATAGACCTGAAACCCCCGAACCAAACCAGCAGCAAATCTGAAGAAGCTGAGAAACACAACCCAACCTCAAACCGTACAAATGGTGCAGGGTTAGGATAAGACAGTAACCCCAAACCCGAAGATCCCCAAAAGGGTTTAGGATCCCCGAACCCGAAGATCCCCCCCCCCTAAACCCCCCGAGAGCACCGGCCCCTGAGGCTAGGCAGCTTCGCCAGCGCCCCACTCTCCAAGCGCCGGAGTGCCGCCGGGGCCCTTGGGAATTTCCAGCTATAAGCACTCTCCTCCTTATTACAATGGAGACGAAAGACTGTCGGTATACCGGCAGGGTCTTGCTTGCTTGTACTTTTTTCCGCAGGCGCTTCGATGCAATCCGGAGCTCTCTAAATTAGGGTCTCTTATAGCGCCCTTCTGTATAAGGGTGCCGAAGTTTTTGGGGACCTAAAAGATTTAGAGAACGGCCCATATCTTCTGAGCCTTAAATGTGCCGAGGGCTTCGAGTTTGTTGCTCTGGTGTCTTGGAGCATGACTAGGGTCATAGGAGGGGCTGGGTGAGTGCAACCCCGGGCTCTTCTATTAGGAATATGGGAGATTTCAGGGGATCTCAAACTGAAGCCTTAGATAAGAAGGATCCTTACTATAGGGGCACACAAATGATAAGGTTCCCTGATACTGATGAGAGCTAGACTTAAGGTCATAGCCTCAGTTCTTAGACCCCAAGCTCTAAACACCACAGCGGAAGAGCCGGCAGGGTGCAGTGCCTTTCTCCTTGCACCCCCATCCGTAAAACTCCAACCATCAACTCGCTCTCCACCCCTCCGAACCCCCCCAGCCACCTACTGTAGGGGCCTGAATAATTACCAATACCATTTTGGGGGCTCCTTATTCGAACTACAGTACAATGGGCCCCCCAAAACCCTATTCTAATTACTAAGGCCCCCTATATATTCACCACAAGCATTGACATTAAACTCCAACCTCTGGGCCCTACACCCGATCTCTTTCGCTGTCTTCCGTGCAAAAAGGCGGTGTCGGGCCGGCCGGGTGCCCGCCTCTCTCGGGGGAACTTCTCATGGCCTCAGGACGCAGCAATTTGAAGGGTTTTGGGGGGGTTTGGACAAGTTTTTCCGGCTTGTCATAGAGTGGTGTCCACAAATTCTTGTAGGTGTACTCTGGGATCCACAGGGCTTTGAGCGGGTTTTGTAAGTTTGCCAGTGGGCTCTGCAGGGGTCCCTTTAGTTGGTTTTCTGAGTTTGTCAACAGGGTCTGAAGGCTGGCAGAACGTATGTTTGATAGGGGTTACGATTATAGGTTTTTGGGGATTGGGTGTTAGAGCCCCAAACCCCGTTATCTTGAAATCTTTTTCGGTGATCCAGCGCTTTGGACGATGAAGTGTTACTTTGGGGCTCAGGGTTTAAGGTTGGAGTTGGACCATAAATTAAACCCTTGTGCGAGATTTCCTTTAGACCTCCGGGGTTCAACCATAGTGGTGGTCCAACTGTAACAAGGACGAAAAGAATCGATAAGTCAAAAGAACCCTAAACCCTGAACCGTCAATTCCCCGCTTCGATTCTCCAGCAGTGGCTGAGTCATCAAAATTCCGGGGAGGCCATTTTGAGCCACGCGCTCCTTGTCATAAGAGCACTACCTTAGAAGGGGCCCCGACCCTGTAATAGTAACCATAAGGATTATATTAGGGCCCTATTATATCCCTATTATACCACTATTGCAGGGTGCGGGGCCCCTTCTAAGCACTATCCTACAAAGCCACAAAAGAGCTTCTTTGGGAGTACACGGCACCCCGGGTAGTCCAGCAACCCGAAACGCTAAACCTCCCTCCCATCCCCCCGAACACGAAAGAGACCGAAAGCCTAAAACCCCAATCTGCCTAATGGGTCTCTTGGCGCCACATGGGAGTTTCCGAAAATGAGGGGTACCTTATTCTTGGGTCCTTATTTAGGCTACTGTATTGGGGTCCCTATTTTCGGAAACTCCCATATATGGTTTTCCCGCGTCCCAAAGCGTCCTTTTGAGCCCTGAACCCTCAGAGCCTCCAACCAAAAACCCTGAACGACAAAAGCCTTACTTGGAGGTTCATGGGTAGTTATAAGTGGGGTTTAGGGTTTGGCATTTTACGGGTTTAGGATTTAGGGTCTACTTGGAGGTTCATGGGTAGTTATAAGTGGGGTTATAAGTCCCTCAATATGGGTCATAATTATAGTTACCCTACTTATAACCCCACTTATAACTACCCATGAACCTCCACGTACTGACTTTGACCCGTACACCTGCTGTGGCTCAAAACAGGGGGTGCTCACCTGAACCCTTAGCCCCAAAGCCCTAGACCCAGACCCGAAACCATGCACCCCCAAGACCTTCCCCTCCCTGGAACTCTTGGAACAATTTCTGATTTAGAGGTTGGGGGACGCATCTACCTTAGCAGCGATCCAATGTGCCTTGTCTTCGAGAGGCTAACAGACCTTGAACCATCTTAAGCTCTTAAACCCCACACTCAAAACCCTAAAAAATTTGTTTTAAAGTTTAGTAGGATCCCTTCTACCTCAATCAAAAAATATTGGAGCTTCAGGGACCCTGAAACAAAAAGAGCCCTAAACCCTAAACCCTAAACCGGCCGCCCTCTTGGACAGAAGCTTCTCCCAGAGCCATGGCCGGTCCCCAGAGCCAGGGCCCCTCCCCGGTGATGCCTGCCCTGTCACTCGGCCACTCGGGGCTGTGGATTTAGGGTTTAGAGGGGTTTTTAGGGGTTTAGGGTTTAGGGGTTTTAGGGTTCAGGGGTTTGTGGTTAGGGGTTTTAGGGGCTTAGGGGTTTAGGGTTGTGTTGAGGGGCTAGAGCTTTAGGGGTCTAGGGGTTTAGGGGAGTTCAAGATGTGGGGTGTAGACCCTAAACCTTAGACCCTTTTGGGTTCTCAGGCTTCGCTTTTCGGGGTTGTTGGGTTCCAATGTTGTTATGGGAGTTTCCGAAAATCAGGGGTACCTTATTTTGGGGCTTTTAGCAAGGATCCTACAACTTAGGGTACTACATCAGGGTCCCCTATTGTCGGAAACTCCCGTATAGGGGCTCAGAGAATAAGGAGGCGAGGGCGTCGGGTGTATATTCCAACATACTGTGCCTGGACCCTAAGGAACCTACCTTGTTAGGGTTCCATAATAAGATTTCTTTGTATAAGTGTCCTTAAAACGGTAGGTTACGTGGGGTTAAGGTAGTTCCAATCAGGAACTCAAGGGGTCATGAAACTTAGGAACTGGGGTCATAAACAACGCAACTAACTAGAACTGCCAAGTACGAAACTAACTCCCTAAACCCCTACACCCCTAAACCCCTACACCCCTAAACCCCTAAACCCCTAAACCCCTAAGCCTCTAAACCCCTAAAGCCCTAAACCCCGAAACCCCTAAACCCCTAAACCCCCCTAAAGCCCTAAACCCCTAAACCCCCAAACCCCCAAACCCCTACACCCCTAAACCCCTAAACCCCTAAACCCCTAAACCCTAAACCCTAACTTTTTATCTTACCTGCGAAGCCCCAGGCTTCTCCAAAGAGGATTTGGGGCCTTGGGAGGGTTTCAGGGCCCAAGGGGCGGGTTTAGGGTTCGGGGTTTAGGGGTTTAGGGGTTTAGGCTTTAGGGTTCAGGGTTTCGTGGTCAGGGGTTTTAGGGGTTCAGGGGCTTAGGGGTTCAGGGTTTAGGGAGGCTCTGAAGCATTTAGGGTTTAGGGTTTAGGGAGGCTTTGAAGCGTTCTTCTTCGTCCGGGGTGTACACTTACCTTGGTTAGTGGGGAATGGAGGAATGGGGTACAAGTACAACTACTATTACTACCATTCTTCCATTCCCTGCTAATCAAAAGTAAGTACAGTGTTACTTGTGCCTTGAAAGAGCCGTCAAGACGTGCTCTTCTACTACCTATTGTCATGGCAAGGAGCCCCAGAGAGAAGTATTACTAGAGGATATTGGTGTAGGGTTTATGGTTTTAGTTGTTCAACCGACTTTCTATCTTAGCTGAGTAGAGGGCAGTTTCGTGAGTTGTCGTTGGGTTGCTGAAGGCCGCAGCCATGAAGCCCAAGCCATACATGGCCCGCTAAACCCTAAACGGGGGTTTCCGAGAATTAGGGGCAACTTATTTTGGGGTCCTTATAATGAGGATCGTACTGTTTGGGGTACCATATTAGGGTTCCCTATTTTCGGAAACTCCCAAACCCTAAACCCCAAACCATGCATGGCTGGTGCCAATGGCTCAAGCTATCGATCAGTTTCTCGTAGGTGTCTGAAGACGCAGACTGGCCTAGCGGTTCTTTCGTAGCTATCTTCATAAAGAAGATTCTACAACCCTACTTGGAGGTTCATAGGTAGTTAGAAGTGGAGTTATAAGTAGGATAACTGTAATTGTAACCCACATCAGGGACTCACAACCCCACTGGTAGCTACCCGTGAACCTCCAAGTAAGCCCTGTACCCTAAACCCAAGATTCCCAAGATCGTACTAGTTGGCTTCGACATTGGTTTCCAGCTCTCTGTGGAGACTCGCAAGTTTCCAGTTCTACTGCTGCAAAATGCTGCAAATCCGCATGATTTCCGGCGGAGAAATGAGCATTCCGCTCGAGGAGATACGGAACGTGAGAGGTTTGAAGAGGTGTTTGAATCAGCTGCGTGGATTTCCTTTGGGATTCAGGCAGAGGCTCCTGCTGAATGGCGAGGCCTTGGAAGATGCGGTCAAGCTGGACTCACCGATGCATCTGGACCTCGTTCTACTGCAATACGTCGATGCTTCGGAAGAGCAGGTCATCGACCTACTGCAGGCTGCTGCCGAGGGCTATCTGGCCGAGGTGGAGTCCAGGCTACGGCTGCCCCAAGATCCAGACTCGACCACAGCAAACGGCAGCACGGCCCTGATGCAAGCATCGTATGCCGGCCATGTGGACGTCGTGAGCTTGCTGCTGGATGCCGGCAGCGACAAGAATGCAGCAGACAACGAAGGCTACACAGCCTTGATTCTGGCATCTGGCGCATGTCATGCCGGAGTCGTAAGATTGCTCCTGGATGCTGGTGCCGACAAGGACGCGGCTATCAACAACGGCAACACAGCGTTGATGGCAGCATCTAGGGCCGGCCATGTCGAAGTCGCGAGCTTGCTGCTGGACACCGGCGCCGACCAAGATTTGGCAAACAAGAACGACGGCTGCACAGCTTTGATCGTGGCATCCGCGGTAGGTCATGCAAGAGTGGTGGGATTGCTGCTGGATGCCAGCGCCGACACGAATTTGGCATGCAACAATGGCTGCACAGCTTTGATTCTGGCATCTGAGAGAGGTCGTGTTCAAGTCGTGCGCTTGCTGCTGCATGCCGGCGCCGACAAGGATTTGGCAAACAAGAACGACGGCTACACAGCTTTGACTGTGGCATCCAAGGTAGGTCATGCCGAAGTCGTAAAATTACTACTAAAAACCGGCGCCGACACGAATTTGGCATGCAACAATGGCAGCACAGCTTTGATTCTTGCATCTGACAGGGGTCATGTTGCAGTCGTGAGCTTGCTGCTGCAGGCCGGCGCCGACAAGGATTTGGCAAATAAGAACGACGGATACACAGCTTTGATTGTTGCATCTTTCACAGGAACAGGTCATGCGGCAGTCGTGAAATTGCTGCTGCAGGCCGGTGCCGACACAGATTTGGCAGACATAAACGGCCGAACAGCTTTGATGACGGCATCTAGGGCCGGTCATGTCGAAGTCGTGAGCTTGCTAGTGGGCACGGGTGCCAACAAGGATCTGGCAGACAACAACGGCCGCACAGCTTTGATGACGGCGTCTGAGGCCGACCGTGCCAGAGTCGTGAGGTTACTGCTAGAGGCCAGTGCTGACAAGGATTTGGCAGACAGCCACGGCCGCACAGCTTTGATGACGGCCTCCAGGGCCGACCATGTCGACGTTGTGAGCTTGCTGTTGGATGCCGGCACCGACAAGAATTTGCCAGACAACCACGGCCTCACGGCTTTGATGACGGCATCTGAGGTCGGCCGTACCAGAGTCGTGAGCTTACTACTGCAGGCCAGTGCCGACAAGGATTTGA